ACACAACATGCTGCGGACATTCGAAGCAATCACTGACCATGCTCTGCAAATGCAATCATGCAAACTGCATCCACTCATGCTGTCGGCGTTTTGGGGAACATACTCTTTAACGCACTTAGAATCAAAGAAATTGGAAATCACGCAACAACGTCCAGTCAATCTTCCTGTAGCATCAACGTACTCGGCAGCCTTGACTCTGTGAACCTTTGACCCTAAAAGAGCGTGCAGTTCAGGCCATGACCAACACGAACATGTCGACGGCATGTCAAGAGAAAATAGACATGTGGCGACTCCGCAAACTTTTTGAGTAGGCGTTTCAGAGACTTCAGGACCCCCCGGTAAGCTTTGTACCCCCCAGGTGACCCAGCCCCATGTGCGTCGGTACCGTCCTTAAGGACAGGACCATCGCCTGATCGCCTAAGCGATACTGTAGACAGCACAGGCGATTGCACTTTGTTGCCGCGCAATTTGTTGATTTTCTTCACCAGTTCATCTTCCTGAGTAGCAGACTTGATGGGCCCGTCGAGCGCAATGTGCGCGTGGCGATCCAACCCTTTGGAGGTGGCATCTTTATTGAGCCGGAACTCGACGACTACGCCGCCAGGTTTCTTAGGCCCTTTTGGCCGGCATCGACACGAGCTTGCCATCACCTGCCTCAAATGCAAGGGACTTGAGCAGTCTCTTTGATACCTGGCTCGTCCTCACATCTCTGTTACTCAGATCATCAAAGTCATGCTCTTCGGCATGCTTGTGTTTTGACTTGCAGCGATCTGAAGGTTTCGACTCCAGTGAAGTGTTGGCAGTGAAGAACTCCCATTCCTTGTCGCAATACTTTACACAAGGCTGTCCTTGATGGTCATTACCCATCAATCTCTGGCCGTGAGAACACCCGTCCAAGACGACGTGTCTCCATGCCTCGCCCTTGGATAACGATGCGTGCTGCTTGGATTCGGCAATCTGAGCTTCGGGCGGAATCTCATTGACTACCTGAGTTCCTGACTTCGCTGCAGTAAGGGCAATTCTTTGGACGACCTCCCCCCATGGGTAATTCGTGCCCTTGGAGAGATTTTCGAAGATCCCGAGGTCATAGTTGTTGTACTTGGCGAAGCCCCGGTCTATCCATGACGCTCCGCCTAGGATTCCTGCCCCCGCCGAATTCTTGGATCCCACAAGACGTTGTTGGAGCACGTCATAGAGGTACCCGCACATAGCGTCGTCTGGTTGCCTGCCCGCACACAGTATGTTGCGTTGGGGATCGTAATGCTGATCTAGGTCATGATGCTTCATGCCATCGATACCCGGCGCATACTCGTTCCACCAATTGTCGTGTTCCACACCTGCAAGCATCCAAATGGATACCCCTTTGGGTGCGTCGACGATTTTAATCCTCACTTTGACGTCACTTCGCTCATCCTTGTGCACGTGCAATAACTTCTCGTCACTGTCGTACGATGAGTAACCCATCGTTGGGATCTTTGAACTCAACCACGTGAGGCAAAATGGCTTTGTTGTAGTCTGGCACCTCGTGTTCTCGACATTTTCGTGACATATTCTCCCATACTTCCTCGATTATTCGTGTCCACAATATTGAACCGTGATATAAAGGAACTCGTTGTGTGTGACATCGACCATTCCATCGAAGAGGCAATGTGAAGCCCTGGTACCCCCCATGGACGGCGCGAGCCAGCGCGGCGACCACCGCACGCCATTGAGGCGACAGGGCGCGCGCAAAACTCCGACCGTACAGGTACGAAACCTCACAAAGTGCTGCCAAAGCGACCGCAGGGGCTGAGGCCAACGTCTCCGTTCCACATAGCGATCAAACTTGACAGGCGACTGGGGAATAGCAGCGCGATCCTCAACTTGATGCCAAACGCCTTCACGAAGAATCCAGGTCGACCGAAGGTAACGACCCGGCGGCAACGCCGACGGCGTATCCCGCAACATGCGCGGAAACTTGACAACCAAAATGGGGTCAACGCTGTCGTGCTCCTGCAATCCTTCCTTGCTCGAGAGACCCGCGCGATAAAGCACCTGCGGCAAAATGGGAGTCTGAGTGTAGGGAAAGCAAGGCACGTCGCTCTTGAAACTGTAGAGCTGTTGCCCCTTCTCATCCGTGCTTTGGGAATGAGTGGGCTTCATCAGATCCATGATATCCTGGGAGCTGATCAGGGCCGGAGGGAAAATGTTGATAAGCTGGCACGCATGTGTCCAGGACACCGAGTCCTTAAAGGATTTGGTGTGTATATCGGCAGCCATCTTGGCCGTAACCTCATAGGCCAAAGACACATATCCTTCCTGAAAGATGGCATGCGTCCAACCGATGCAAATACCGTGCGTCCGCTCAAGGTGGCGCATGGTAGGGTTCTTCCCAGTGCGAATAACGCCAATCATGGTCTGGTTGTCGTCATAAAAGACGAAATTGGGGTCTTTGCCACCAAGCTGACCAAGCTGCTGCCACAACGTGATAGCAGGAAGCCCCAAGCGAGTCATAGCAAAGTCGGCCGCAACAATCTCAGCCTCAGGTGTAGAGTGACTAAGGCACCCTTGCCTTTTGCTTAGTCCCGCAAGAGGAAAACGTGTATGAGGATCCTGAATGTGCAAGTGAGGACTGGAGGTAGATTTCAAGCTCTCGCCACAACCAGCATAGTCCGCATCCGCAAACAGTCCGATGGATGAGTTTTGCATGGGATCCCCAACCCATCCAATCATCATGTGATGTTTTGACTGATGCACATACGCCATGAG